GTTAGACAGGCACAGCCCTACAAGAGCTGCTGGGTTCAAATAATTCTTTCCTTCATTGCTTTTCAGGTGACCACAGATGGGATACCACTTAGAATACAAAAAAAAATGTAAATTTCCAAAGCAGAAGATAGGTTAGAATGACTAGATCCAATGGAGATAGATGTTCTTGTACGTTTAAGTCTAGCACATTTAACCCAGGCAATTATCTTGGCCAGAAGAGTAATACATAAAAGCACACAAGTTTTGTACTTTAGCTGCCTGCACTCCTGTCCATTGTCCCTACCGACAGTGCCTTCCCAAAGTCCAACTCATCTGGACTATTAAAGGTGTCACCACAGCAATGCTCGCCACTTTTGTAAGGTATAGTGTGAACAGTTTCTGCCCGGATCGCTAAAGCACTTAAATATGGTGGTGTATCCCTTACCCTCAGAGACAGGAAATATGAAGAGAACATGTATGAATATTTTTGCTTCCTGTTGGGATTTTAATGATACCAGCTGTTGATTTATACCTCCGTGATCAAGCTGAACAAGTTTCCACATAGCTCAAAATGTGGAAATGGTCTGCAATCAAGGCTGCAGCCAGACACATACACGGGCTTTTATTATCAGGCAGAGGTGAATTGAGCTCCAATATCCTCTTTATTGCACATATAGGCAAAGAAACAAAAGTGTGATTAGGACAATATACCATTCCTTACCTAAACTGCCAATGGCACGACAGAGAAGTGCTTGTGCACTGTAAATTGTACCCAGAGCAATAATATGTGTGCCCCTTCTGTAACAAGTGGCCACTCTCCAAATAGCAGAGCATGATGTCTTCAGATCCGTTATTCCCAACTGGTTCATTTTTACTATTAGCAGTGAATTGAGTCAGAAGTTTGTGTTCCGCTTGATAGAATAACAACAGCACTGGAAATAAGATCCATGTATTTGCTCCAGTACAGGAGCAATTGGCCAGGACACATGCGGTGCATTTTGGCACCTGTGCACCCCAGACTTAATAGCTGTATGGAAACCACCCCTCTTTACATGGAAATGTGTAGTACCAGGGTTCCTCAAGCTCAATCTGCTAGAGCCCTGGACTTTTCTGCCCTGTCGCTGCAGCACCACTGGGATTAACCAGCATACCATGGCCTTGCTTTCTAAGCATGCTTAGGAAAGATGTGGTGTCACGTGCAGGGATGGGACATGGGGGTTTTAGGACCCAGTGGCAGATCCCTACCCTTCCTCTACCTCCTCATTTACATCCCCGTGTTCTCTGCAGTGGCTGTGAGAGCGATGGGGGGGGGGGTGGAAATCTCCATTCAGAGTTACCCTTCTGAAATCATGTCTATGGCCTCAGACAAGCAACCCCGCAGTCTCCCATGATCTCCGGAGTCCTCTCCAGGGAAATGGAGAGACACTGTCTATTTATATTTAGAATTTGCCTTGCAGTTTATTATTTACAGTTGTATGACAGGTGTGACAATCTTAGGACATACGTGGGAATAAATATTTTTAGATTACACCTTGTGCATAAAATAAAATAGTAAGTAATTTTACCAGCAACACCTCCTTTTTAAAATTTCAACTGTATCTTCTGTGGGTGCAGTCCGCAATTTTGTTCTGTGAACAGCATTTCAAAATTAGGGTTAGAAGAAGATAGTATATTTACCCAAAGTCATGTTCCTTTTTTTAAAGGGGCTAGGAATAAAAGGGCAAATGTAGTGGCAGAATTTGCCCATCATGACACATCACTGTCCATGAGAGCAAAAGAGCCCTTGCATAACCCTAGCACAGACCATGGGCTACAAAAGGATTTCTTACCCCACAAACAATCCCCACCACAGCTGGCTGTGGCTTGCATATTAAAATACTGTCCAGCATGCACCACAAATGTTGTACGAGCATGTCCAGCATGTACCCCAACTATTAATTAATCCATAGGTGCTTTTAGTGACACGTGAACTGGCCCAGTATTCTTCATCACTGCCTACTGCTTAGGTTACCACAATGCTCCTTATTTTTTTCATGTTTTTAAATGCAGGGGATCTTTTCTTAACTTTTTTTACAATATTAGAAAAGACTTAAGAGAAAGGTTGAAAAATCAAGTAACCCATGTGCAACTAAGAGCCATATGGAACAGGAAGAAAAGTAGGGAAGAAAAAGGGAGCAGAGCAAGAGCCTGCCTTCATCAAAGTGAGGAGAGTCCCATTGCCAAGTTCAATGAGATCAACACACAGCGCATCAATTGATGAGATGTGCATTAGCTGGAATTCCAGCTGGCCCTGATTTTCCAGTATATCAGAATTGCGGCACAGTGCAGGGAAACTGTGTCCATGTGTCTGACAGTGTGTGGGGAAATAATCCACCCAGAAGTGTTCTGCAGGTATTTGCCAAACACATTGCTCGCTGGATTACAAATGTGAAGTTGTATACCTGTATGGCAAAAGCAACTAAAATATATGTAGCTGACTTCTGCAGTGGCTATTTCTGCAGATTCTTGCTAATGTTTTGCTATACTGGGGTGGCAGGGTGGATCTATGCATTTTCCTATCTGTAAACATGACTTTTTCTTTCGTCTGATTTTGTTGCATTCTTGAATAAACTTGGTTTCATCTCCAGTAGCATAAATTTGCAGTTCTGCAAATCTGCATCTGCAGAAATGCACAGTGCTCCTGCCCCCGTGTGTACCTTTAATAGAATTCACTTCTTATGAGTAAACATGCTTAGGCCTGGCACTGCATGTTTTGAGACACAGCTGGCTGGGAATGCTTGAAGCCGTGGTATATTTTATTTTGCTGTCTAAACATGCAGATCAGGCTTTTGAACAGGCTCTGCAAAGCGGAAAGAGCAGCAGAGGTGCACTTCACTTCCCTGTCCTGCCACCCAGCCTTTTCCTTCCCTCTAGCTAAAATGCCTCAGAGGGAGAGGGAAGGAGGCCTTGCATCCTGTCCTCTCCAGTTTCTTCCCTCTCCCACTCCTTTTACCCCATCGCTGAGATTGCTTTCTCAGCCCTGGAAAGCAGTTGGTACTGTTCTTTTCTGGAAAAGCTGTGAGGGGATGTGGGAAGGTGTTTGGAGTTCTGATTCCAAGCTGCAAGCCCAGATCACTCTCTCTGACCTCAGATCCAGGAATTCAAATTGTTCCAAGCCCTGCCCCTGATGTGCTTTGTCTAGGCCTCTTCTTCCATGAATTAACTTTTAGAAACAATCCTCAACATTCATATTTTCATTGTCATTGTTCCCAAGGGAGGACTGTTTCTCATCAGAGTAAATGAAGCTAGTTTTGGCTTGGGTAGATGCAACTAATGCATTCATTTATTTATTACTCTTATAAACCACCCAATAATGAATTTTCTGGGCAGTGCATAGGAGTTCAATCCAGGAGCTACCTTCTACAACAGGAAGGTTCTGCTTGCAGAAGGTTCTTCCACCTAAATTTTTGATCTTCTCCATCAATACGCACATCCCTTTCAGCAGGATTTCTGACCTTCTGTAGAGCATTTCCAGGGAGCGGGAGGGAAAGGAGGGGATGCCCCTCTTCCAGTAGTGCAGTTGATCAAATTTAAATCTGGATCCAACCCAGAGTAAATTAAAAACAAAGTATAAAACCAACAATTATAAAATCAGCACATAATAAAATAGCCTTTTATCTTAGCTGAGACATAGTCCCATTGAACTCAGAAATACTTACTTCTGAGTAGACATTAATAGGATCACACTGTTAGAAATTAATGCCACGTATTATTGGTGGTAAGCCTGCAATCCTAAACTTGAGTGTAAGTCCCATTGAGTTCAAAGCTGTCACTTTCTTCTGAGAAGACATGCATAGGATTGCATTGCAAGACTTTTCTGTTGTTGCTACTGTTTATAACTGAGCTGCTGATCTGATTAAGCCAACAGTTATGATTTGTTATTGAGTCTGTTATATGTATTTATATTTTAAGATTTTCTGCTAACGCTTCAGTGTATTTATGCTACCACCAACTATGCATAATCAGGGAGTCAAGAGTTCTAACTGATGGGAGGTGTCGTAGGCCAACATCTGGACTTGGAGTTCCAGTGGGGGATTAATTCATGGTATTATGACATGCTAACCTGATTGTTTCTATATTGCTCTTGCATTTATAAATCATCACTTGCAAATTGTATGCATATACATATGTTATACAAACTGATGTCTTATTTTGTGGAAAAGATTAATACATTTCCTTTTTGTTGCACATACACAATGAATTATAGAATCCTAGCAATGTTAATTAATAATGTTGGTTTTATCCCCAATATCTTCCTCTATAATAATAATAATAATAATGTGTTACTAGGGAACCCAAAACAAAGAGCACTGGAACATATGAAACATACATGCATTTTTTTTAGTAAGGCTCACAAGTCAATTATAAATGCTACTCTGGCCCAGTTCCTTTTTTATCTACCCAGCATTATATGAAATAGATCAAATGTATGCATTATCATACTTGAAAAGACTCATGATTCATATCTAAGATTTCAGTCATGGCTTTATGATCAAGAATACAGAAGAGAGCATCTTTTCCACGGAAACTGCTACTAATCTTTAATTCACATTGCTGAGAAACTTCTACTTTCCTGGTAAGAGAGGCAAATGGAATGGAAAAGCATTTTGGTCACTGCTTGAAGAACATTACCTCATGCCCATACACAGAGTGGAAAAACCACATGCTTGCTTTTAAAGATGGATACACTCACTGAAGATTTAGGAGTAGATGGCTGGGAAGTTGTCTCCAGCAGCTGCAAATGAAAGCATGGTCTGAGCTGTAAGATGCTGCGTGTGTTGAATTTTTTCCATTATGTTTCAAAGGTAAACTTCATAAATGAAAAAAACCATTCATCTGTTGAAAAAAACCATTGGTTTTTTTAAATGCTTAGCAGGCTTCGTGGTTAGTTTAGCTTGATTTTAAAGAGTGCAACCTCCGCAAAAATGAAAAATGTCTCACTGTGTCAGAGGCTTCTAGAAAAAGTGGGGTGGTCTTTGGTTTTAAGCCAGAGCATAGTCAAACTGGCCTTTATCTAGTCCATCAAGTCCATCTGCCCAGGTGGAGGTTGGCATGCTCCTATATGGATCTAGGAGAATCCGAAAGCATCGCACGATGAGGATGCCGAGGAAAATGAATAGTAAAACCACGAAGACAAAAGTGGTCTTCTGTTCCAAGGTAAGGCCAATTTCTGAGGAAGTATTCCCAGAAGAGAAGAAACTGGAGGTGAAGGGCTCATCATCCATTCTCCAGAAATCATGAAAAACAGAATCCTCCAATCTTCTCCTTTTCATCATCAGTACATGTAGATCATGATAGGTGTCGCCCTGGAGATTCTGGTCACCTGAAATAATGGGGAACAGAAATTACAAGTGGAACATGCACTGTGCAGTTTTTTCTAGCCACTCCATTTGTGTCTTCCTTCTTCCCTATCTCACAGCCACTTCTAATTCTGCAGCCAAGCAGCAGTCTAAGTCCTTGTTCAGCGTGTGTGTGTGTGTGTGTGTGTGTCAGGAGTGGAGGTCCATCCCTTTTAGATTTAGAAAAAGAATTTCTAAAAATGTTTTGGTTACTTATGCAAAAGTTGGAGTTCTTCCCAGCCTGCTGATAGTTCCCTACATAAGCAACAGCACTCATAGCTTTATATGGATATTTTAACTTATTGTTTTATCTATGTTGTAAGCCACCCCGAGGCTTCGGCGAATGGGGCAGCATAAAAATGTTTTAATAAATAAATAAATAAATAGCCTGGCAGCTCCAGGTGAGAGGTCCCCCCATGCCCATGCTAACAGCAGCCACTGCTGAGGCCCATCTGAGAGGAGAAGATGCCACAGAGCCCTTCCATTCAGCTCCGTGACTTGCTGACTCTCTACCTAAGGATCTAAAGGTTAGGGTCGGTATTTCCTCCCTTCCAATGCCTTCCATACTTGTGTCATGTCTTTTTAGATTGCTTCTGATTCAATTGCCTCAACTCTGTTCCAGCTGATGCTCACAGGACTCCATCATTACCAGCCATAAAGTGAGGCCTAAAGGCATTTTTCTTACTTTACGTTTTAACTGAGAGAGGCCTTTATTGGATACTACCATGTGCATGGTGTTATCCTATTTTAATTGTTCTTTTTATTTTTAAAAATACATTATTGTTGTTTTTACTGTTGTGACAAACCAGGAAAGATGAGAAGACAAGCAGGAGCAAGCCTCTGTGTTCATTCCCAAGGGCATATCTGCTTCCTGATACAATCCAGGACAACTCCAAACAATCCAGGATCACTCAGCTCTGGCCTGTTTGGCCTTAACAACCCAGGGCTGGTTTGCACAACATGCCAGCCTAACAGGGTTTGATTTAGCCAATGGGACCATCACAGTATGTTGGGCACCTGCAGGGACCATTTTGGCATGGTGTCTCTGAGTGCCTGGTTTACTCTGGCTTCTCATGCTGTATGAACTGAGGGGACATGTTTGTTGGGAGTGGCAGCAAATCGGCAACACTGCGCCTTATTTGAGCGTTTGCTGCCCACTGCAATAAGCCCTGCAGCCCAGGTTCCCATGACACAACAACCCACACATTTGCTGGCATGTGATCTGTAGACACGGGGATGGAATGACCCTCATCCCAAAGTGCTGCTTCAAATCTCATGATAGACATAGAAGGGTGCAGCATCCCTGCAGTGGCGATGGGAAGAAACCAGAAAACGTGTTCACTTGCTCCCACTCATTTTCTTGAGAATTCACAAATTGTGAACCATGGGTTGTTAAAGCATGCAAACTGGGTCGCTTTGTGGTTTTTCATTTTGTACACCTTGGGAGGAATTTCTTAAAAGACGGCTTATATATCTATCAAATAAGTATACACAATAGACACTTCTTTGTAAGCAGCTCTAGGCACTTTTTTGAATATAGAATAGGGTGCAAGTACTTTACGTACACCAACAGGAAAATCATAAATGGAGGCTTTTTGTGTAACTGTGTACAACAAAAATCTCCAATGATTTAAATCACGGCCTGTCAAGTGCTTGTAGTCCCAGGGATGCAAACCTTCCCAAGAAATCTCATAGCTTATTCAGATCACACAAAATTGGTTTCAGCCCATATCTAATGGAGAGATATGACTCAGGAGACATTTCAGTGAATTTTGGACAAAAGCAGCCAAGCTTCTGTTAGTATCTTTTGTCCCGTATTAATAACCACTCCATGCCAAGGCTAAGGCTTGGACTTTTTCTCAACTTTGAATAGCAGAGCAGCATGGTTCACAACTCCATCCAAAAGTAATAGTATAACTTATTTATGTTTCATCTTATTAATATTAGAGCATGTTTAAAAGAAGGACAACAAAGGCAATTTGACTGAAGTAAGAAATGATGTTTTGGAAAGGGCAAATGGAAATTAACCAGATGGAAATCTGAATCAGCAGCCTGATAGAACTACAAATTGGCTAGTACTAATCCTAATGAAAAAATAATTAGAGGCAAGATGGGAATGCATTAAGGATGCAGTCCTATGGACTCCTGACATCATCTAGGAGACCACTGGATCTTTCAGAGTTTCAGCACTGGAAACGTGGGTTCTCAGCCTATGAAAGCTAGCCCTTCCTTATGCTCTCTCAGCCAGCATTTAAAGAACTGCACTGGTCCCCACTGCCTATGGCCAAAACTGCATCTGGACCTCAGGGAGGAGAAAAAGAGGGTGTGCAGGTAGGAAAAAAGCCTGAGGCTGTGGAATTCCACTGATTCCAATTGCTGCCCCAGCCCCTTCGCCCTCCGCACACTAAATCTAGATGGCTGAAAATGGCCCTCTACATACACCCAGGGCATGAGGGACAAGGTGTCAGGGATCGCCATCCCCATGCCTCATCCTTGCTTTGCATGGATGATGGAGTTTGGAATCTCATGAGCACCTGGAGTTTGGAGTCTCTGAGCACCTGGCTGAAAGCTTTGCAACCTTAATTCACTGTGTTTGAACTTTGAAGCCAATTGCTTATTTGGATCCAATACTAAGATCCACATCTTAAGCCATGGTGGGTGCTAGTCTCTGCAGGTAGACGTTTCAGATATTCAGACCAAGGTGGCAACTTGTTGTATTAACTGAATCCAGTGAGAGTGGGAACTTGGCATGGCTGACAAAACATCCACAACCTTAACAGCCCCTGGTTGCATCGTGGTTTGTTAACTTCTCCAACAGCTCAGCGTTGCTAGCTTTGGATGACAGTATCCGCACTAAAATTCAAGAGCTGCCCATATAAAAGCTAAGTTATCGGCACGCACTATAACTCACTTTGGTATAAATAAGCCACAGTAGACAGCATTGATTAGAAGAAGGTGATAGACCCACTATTCTGCCTTCCCTTTTCCACTGACGCTCCTCCTGTTCTTCTAAAAACCAGTCCTGTGGGTTAAGACATTTTCTGGAATGAATGTGTGGTGTAATGGCTGAGAGTATAGGGCTGGGACTCCATTATCCTGATTCTAGAGCCCACTCAGTCAAGGAGCCACGTGGGTGACTTTGGACCAGTCACTGACTCTCAGCCCAACCTACCCCACAGGGTTGCTGTTGTAAGGATAAGACTGAGAGGGGAGATGAATTATGCAAGATACCTTGGGTTCCATGAAAGGATAAAAGGTAGGATATAAATATAATAAATAAATACATTTTATTCTTTCATTTACTTATTTTTATACAGAGCAGAGCCCCTCTGGCATGCAGTGTGGCATGGAAAGCTAGCAACTGTAGTTGAAGGGAGGGTACTCAGCTATTTGAGCCCCTCAATGCAAGGAGCTCTTGGAATCCATCACGTAACGTTCTATTGTTGTTGGTCATACTATTTAAGAGACTGAGGACGTGGGTGGTGGCATACATACAAAGAAAACATATGCACAAAGACTTATGGCCTCACAGTGTTGCAGGCTGTGTTCTTGGTGTTTCTGCAAACATTGCTGAATGAAGCAGCAGGGAGTGCAGAAAGAGAAACGGCTATATATCAACTTCTTTGTAAATGTTCTGAAACCAGGGAAGAGGAAAAGGCAGCTAGTTTTTCAGATGGCAGTTTTTCTGAATAGAGAGAAGCCAAATGCACTGTGAAGAGCTTCAAAAGCAACAAAAAGCCAAGTGAGGTTCAATGTATGCAAGAGTAAAGTGACTCAAAATAAAACTGCCAGTTATCACCACACCTTAGAGTGCATCCACATTCAGGATGCTGGCTGTAATTCTGATATTCCATCTGAAAATAGAGTATCACTGAGCTAGAAGAAGATGCCACAAAAAGCATGCATGCCAAGCACATTTCAATATGGTGCAAGGCAGGAGTGCAGGGATATCACTGGCTTTCTATAAAAAGGAAGGAAGACAGCAGATCTAAAGTGTGGTAAAAGTGGGCTCAATCAGAATATACATCATTGGTGTTCTGAGTTCCATTATGGGGAAAAGGTGGGATTGATACATAATAAATCAATAAACAAGGTGTGTTTATTTTATGGGCTTTTAGACCTACTCCTGTTTCAGACCTACTACTTGCAGACCTATGTAGGTTGTCTATCTTCACCCCAAGGATATGCTGGAAATAATGGTTGGTGAGATGGATCCATCCATGCTGCACCTGGGTCTTTCCAGATGTTTTGGACTTCAGCTCTCATCAGCCTAAACCAGCATGGCAAATCCAGGTTGGGGAAGGCTGTTCTATGTTCAGGGACAACCCTATGAACATGCTTAGGGAAGTTTGATTCTCCAGGACATCATCTCACTGCTCATCTCATGCCTGATTTTCATTCCCATGCACAAAAAGACCGATAATGTAAAATATGCTTTAATATTGCAATTGGAAAATGGAGCAAGCTAAAACAGTCCCATAATTCAGTTTACAGACACAGTTACAGCACAAAAGGGTTTTAAATTCTACTGAAATGAAATTTATTCTTTTTTACATTTAACTGGAATAAAAACAATTACATCATTTGATAGTCTTCTTAATTTCTTTTAGAAAGAGCTGAGCCGAAAATGTTATGACTAGAGAAAAGTCTTCTGAGCCACATGGTTATTAAGTTTAACATCTAGCATGGCACAGTAGACAGGCCGTTAAGTTTTTGGGTGTAGGGAAACTAGTTCAAATTTCTTCATGAAATTTATTGAGAGGTTTTAGCAAACAGTGACCATCTCAACTTACCTTACTTCATGCAGTTGCGAGAGTAAAAATTTGCTGAGGATTAATGATATCCAAAGGGAAAATTAACAAGTTCTATCCAAGGTTATTCCTAGTTCCTAGTTAGAGTAGACCTATAGAAATGAAATGGATTTGTTAGACTAACCT